ATTAAAAACGTTGCAAGATTTAATGGGTTTTAAGCTCTTTCGTTATAGGACGTTACCCTCTGCTTTTATTTACCTGGTCGGACCCAGGAACTTCCAGCAAACCACTTTGAAGTCGGACGTATTTTGAAACGTACAAAGAGGACATGCGCAGTAGGACCATAAACGAAGCCGTTGTTTGTTGGCTTTCAGTTTAATATCAGTGAGGGCTTGCAACGTTTACAGTCCCTTTTTTCATATTAAAGCAGCTCAGCTAAACAATAAAGTTTGTCCTTGTTATCTTCCACTGTAGCCGCTGCTAGCTTTCTCCGTGCAGCATGTTTGCCTCCCAAACCTCGTCCTTCCAAGATTCAATCGACGTGGAGGAGAGAGATGACTTTGACAGCGAAGAAATAGCTGGATACAGCCAGAAGATTCAGCTGAACTGCTACTACACCATCTATCTTTATCAAGGCACAAGGTAACCGTGGCTATTTCTCTGCTAGGTTTCTGCTTTGCAGAGCTTTGCTGCAACCATATGATACCTATGGTTCTGCTTCTTGCATCGATAACTCGAATTTAGGAGCATGTTTAAAATGTTTGGATTATTACTGTGGATAACCCTTGTCCTCCTTTTATTTCTGAACACAGCCAGGAAAGATATCTCTGTGTAGTTTATGGTTTTATTTAGCTGTATTTGTCCCTTCTCATGCTATTATGCGGGTAAAGCCCACTTTATACATTAAACTCTAACCAGGTGATGAGTAAACTGTCGATTGTCTTAGATCTGAGGCTTCTGGGGAAAATGTGGCATGGAACCAGAGACGAGCAGACTCCACAACCAGTCAGGAAGACTTTAGGTAACGAAGGAGCCAGCGCCTACCTTCCACTTGCTTTGCCTGGTTTCTCTCTGGCTTTCTTTGTTGTGCATCAGTGTTTCCACGAGCTGCCACCGGCAATCCGATTAACATGGATTCAGTGCTGTTTTCATTCATGGTTTTTGTTCCGACTGGTCATCACTCTGCTTCTGAGTTACGTGGCCTTAAGGTGCCTCCTGATGTAAACAGTGGCTCCACTTTTATGTATCAACTACTGTTGGTAAAAAATAAAAATAAAAAAAAAACTAATAAAAAATAACTTTGAATGTCTTTGTAGAGTTTGGAAAAGTTTAACAACTATGTGACTCAGTTGTGTGTTGTGTGCTGCCTATTGTCATCAGCTTTCTCCATCTCCACTCCATTGACTTCAGTGGCTTCCACAAACTTCTCATCCCTGCGCTGGCTGTTTTTATCCACACTGACTCTCTGCTTTGCCCACAGCCTCACACTAATTGACAGCAGCCTGCCATCAGAGGCAGAGCCAGAGCTGCGGACCTACATTTCAAGGAGGCTGAGCAAAGGAGCCCTGCTTGGAGGCATGGGCAACATTGCCACTGTGGAACTCAGGTAATAATTTTACATACAGCAGTGGTAAGCTTACACACACTCAATATGCTTTCTTTGAACTGTTCTTCTTCCAGTGTGGAATGATTGTACAGCTACATCTTTAAGAACTTTAAAAGTAAAACAAGAATTGGGTGCACAAGCTTCAATTTATTTAAGATTTTCTCTAATCCACACAGAGTCCACAAGCTTCTGGCTTAACTTCAGCTGGATATTTGAGCACATGTTTTGAACCTCATCTCGTTTGTTAGACTTGTGCAGGTCATGATGTGGAAGCATATTATGTATTTATATTATAGTGAATATAGCCTGTTTCATTTAACCACACTAATGAAAAGCTAAAGTTTAACTGGAAATATGTCTCAGCAGTGGAAATGTATACGTTTATTAACACAACCGTTCTGAATTTTTACTCGACAGTATTCCAGAGCAGGCCGTCGGCTGCTACTGCTGCCTCCTGGAGCAGGAACGGTCTCCCGAACAGCCGGATTCCGATGGAAATGGATATGTCATCTGCTTTATGGGAGGGTCTGAAAAAGGACTGAATTTATATCCTTTTGTATAAAATAAGCCAAAGTTATAAGTAAATTGCTTTCCAGGACTATTATACGTGATCCTCCTTGCTGTTACGGAATGTGTTTCACTGCATTGTTGTGGTGCGTCCGTGTTACAGTTCAAATTCCTTGACTGCATACACATTCAGATTAGAGCTCGATAAGTACGTCCAAGGCCTGCACAGCAGCCTGCAAACCCCAGAGGTATGACAGTGCAATAACAGTGTAACTGTGTACCACTAAATGTATATGTTATAGTATTATCCGTGCAAGACTGATGTGTCCCACTTTGTTTGTGTTTAGCTGCAGAACCTTGAGACGGAGGTGCGCCCCTATCTGAGTCAGTGGTACGAGGAGTCTGTGATGCACATTCATCGAGTGGTGCAGCTGGTCCAGAGCAACATCAGCTTCCTGCTCCACGCTGTGAGTCATTTCTCACCACTACACTGTTTACTTATTGAAGTATATCCAGTAAAGATAAGTGCTCACAAAACAAACACTCATCTGATACAAGAGAATAAATAATTAAGATAAGAATGGAGGACTCAAGAATAACACTGCGAGTTGCTCTAGAGAGGAATTTTGTTTAATAGGTACAATACTCCATGAGACAAGTGTTGGAATAATATCAGAAGCTTGTGACATAACCCTGATGAGGAAGATATTACATAACAGTTACCAAGTTACAGGTGTGACCGAGGTTTGGTTTGCTCTCATTTCAAGAATATGACATCATTTCTATCATCAAATCACTCCTCACTTGATCCCCAAGACTCAAGGCAATTTAATTTTTTTACTGAATAAATAGATTTTTATAAAATGTGTGGGGCGCTAAAAAAAACAAATTGAATTAAGCACAGGTTTCCATAACTACAGTGAGACTTGCCAGGGTTTCCACACATTCACTGTCTGTGATCAGTCTTTATCCTGGTTTGTAAACAGTATTTTACACATCTGAAAAGTATTGGAACTACATATACTCACTGACCACTTTATTCAGTACACCTCAGTAATAGCAGGTTGCACCCCCTTTGGCCTTCATAGAAGAATAAATTCTTTATTGCTTAGATTCAACGAGGTGCTTGAAACCTCAGTTCATTTTGACATAATTACACCAAGGAGGAAGATGAGTGTTACTTTGGTTCTGGGTGAACTGGTTTTGAAATCATGGTTTAGCTGTCGGTTTGTTTCCAGCTTAATTCATTTCAACCTCTAAAACCTTGTGTGCACAGGCTCTGAGTCACACACATGTCGAGGTCATCAATTCAGACGAGCGGACGAAGGCTGACGTTTCCAGGTGAGTGAGGTGACGAAGTCCATGCTGATCCTCATGTATCAGGTCTGTCTTTCTTCCTGTTGTTCATGTTCAGCAGTTCAGTGTGAAGAAAAAAAAAAAACATCCACGTTATGCTCTCAGGTTCATCAAAGCAGCCAGTTTGCAGGGACTTTCCCAGCAAGACACCACGACCGCTTCTCTGTGCAAGGCCATCTCAGAGGACGCACAGTCTGCCCTGATTATAGACTGCTCCACCAGCCCGCCCACACTCGCAAAAACTGGTAACTCACACACTGTGACATGTATGTACTCTGTCTTCGTAATGTCTGAGCAACTAATAAAAATGTTTTGTCCCCTCAGTCAGTAACCGTTTCTGTGATGACTGGATTCAAGCATTTCTGAACGCTGCAGAGCGTTGCAATCCGTTCCTGCTCAGACAGATTCTGGAGAACTTTAAACTTAAGGTGGGAAAACACACACACACAGACTGTAGCAGGGTTTCTCTGGCTTTCTGGACCCCGTTTTCTGTTTCTAAAGTCAGATTAATTTCAGTTTAAATATAGCGTTCTTTTATGAGATAACACACATTCAATTATATTTAAGTGGACATAATTAAAATGTTATTTTAATGAATATATTAATGACAGACACATATCAATTCATATATTTTCCACTAGCCCACAGCTTCTCATTTCCTAATATCAGGCACAACTTCTTTTTTATTTTTTTACTTGTTGCATTTTTTTTCATCCTCGCCTCTTCCCTTTTTGTAAAACCCACTACTTTGTCTCTCCCCCTGCAGGCCATCCAGGACATGAACAGCTTGAAGCGCTTTGTGCGGCAGGCAGAGATGAGTCACTACGCACTATTTCGCTGCTGCCAGTTCCTGCAGGGTTGCGGAAACGGAGACGTGCTCCTGCAGAACGCCCGGGCCGAGCACAGCGACCTGCCCGAAGCCTGCAGCATCATCACGGTCCTGGAGGAGTTCCTCAGGGAACAATCCCAGGCCCAAGCGTGATCCCCGACCGACGTGCACTACCAGCAAACCTCACACTACAATCTAAAATATCAGATATCCTGAGAGAATCGCAGCTGTCGAGGCTGCTGCGTAATAAAATGTGTAAGTTATAAAACTATGTTTTGGAGACTGGTGGTCAGACTTGGAATATACTGTACTGTAAAGCAGTGACAGATTTAGTAGCATCACTGTATTAACAATGACAACTATTAACGCCAGCTGTAATTCACAAATTATAACTTTCTAAGGACATTACCTCAGTGAAGATAAGTACAAATTGAAGAAAAACAGATTGTTTAAACTGCAGTTTTTGAGAGGGTAGTGCAGCTTGTGTTGTGTATCACGATACTATGAACCAAATATTATTTCTGGTATTTTTGCTAACTGACAAAGATGACAACAGGGCGTGGAGTGTGGCTTATTTAATTCTATTCTTATCAATTCATTAATATTTAGAATTTATTTTGATTGTGAGAGGAAAAAAATTACTGCGACTGCACAAATCACTTTTTACGCATTGCTTGTTACATACGTGCGCCTTGTTTTTGCTTGTATTTCAACACGATATATGCACTACTAAATTATTTTAATGAGTAAGGATACTCTGTGTACCAACTGTATGTTTAGTCTTATTCTGGTAACGGAAAAAAAAATTAATTGTCGTATTTGTAATGTGTGAATATTTTTGTTTACATTCAGTATCACAGCCTTCATCAGCTCACAGGCACCACGTGATCGCTCGCTACATCACTAAACTGAGTGCGTGGCGTTTAAAGAGTTTCCCACAAAATAAATGAAATAAGAGATTAAAAATACAGATTTGACAACAAGCTCATAGTAGACTTTTACTTTCTTTCCTTCTTTTAAAGTGTTTTAGCATTAAGCTCAGATCATTCCCATTAAATCAAGTCCAAAGTGTGTAATACAGCAATATCAGTAAAGTATAATGGTGTATACTTTTAAACTGTGAACCAGGTATAACATGTAAAATGAATTGTTTTTACTTTTGTGAAACATAGTGTGACTGACCCTGCAGTTCTTTGTGTGTACACATTTCTGTACAGCATGTTTTATCTACCTATAAATGTGTTTGTGGTTCTCTGGTCTTGTATAGAAGGAGTAAATAAATACCACAGTTGAACCTCTGCTGCGGTCGTATCTGTTGCCTAGTTTTAGACGAAACATTGAACAAAGATGAGGGATATTATTTACATTTGTATAAATAGTACTAGTATCCAATACTGCTACTTCTAGTAAAACAAAACAAAATACAGAAATGAACAGTTCCCAAGGTTGACAGCGTGTGGAGTTGCATGTGCAGATGTTCTGAAACCACAGCTCAAATCATCCACTTAGTTCCTTCCTTTGGCTGCAACCGATACAATGAAACTGTGTGCAAGTGCATTTCACAGAACTGATGCAGTTTTTACTGCCTGTGTCTTTACATACCAGCATCTAGCATAAACCAGAGTAGAAGACGCGATTAGTTTCATTTAAAACTGAAACACAAAGATAAAGAGATGAAGCAGCGACGGTCTTCCAATCCAAAGCTGGCGAGTTTGCCGGCCTCCACCGATGCTCTGAAACTACACCTCATATATTCCAGTAGGTTCCTTCCTCTGGCTGATCGTCTGCAGATGCAAACAAACACTGTCAAATGTGTCGTAGTTTATGAAGAACTGGGTTATTTAATTGTTTAACTGGGTAAAGTCATAGAAGTTACCTATGGTGTGATCAGACATGGTTCTCAGGAGTGAGCTTGGCACGTCATAGACACTCTCTGCAAGGGTGTGAAATGGATAAAACATCAGCAAACAACAACAAATATTCAGACTTTTCACTTCTTTCCTCTACAAGCAAACCACAGTCTCACCATGACATTCAGCAGTCTGTCTGTAGGACGCAGGGACATCGTAAACGTCCTCTTCTGCCTCCGCTGAGCGGTTCACCTTACACAACCCTGAACATGTGACACACATTAGAGCCCCCTCTTGGACATCTGCATACTCTTATTGTGAAAGCTTTATTATTTCAAGAAAGTTTTTGGTCATACTGTTTCTAATAGGCAAAACATCATAGTGTCCTTCTTGTCCGGCTTCTGCACTGCTCATCTGGCTGGACCACTGGGGATCGCTGGGACAGTCATCTGAGAACAGCAGCATTTAGCACCAGAAATAACAATTCAAGCTGTGATGGTGCAGAGAGACAGTCATGATCATGTTTACCGTTGCGATTCTGGTAGGCTTTCCCTGTGTTCTGATAAATGTCTTCCTCGTTGTCCTGCTCTATGGGCTGCCAGGTGTTTTGGGGCTGAGAGGTCTCCTTGGGTTGCCAGGTGTCTTTGGGTTGCCAGGTGTTTTGGGGCTGAGAGGTCTCCTTGGGTTGCCAGGTGTCTTTGGGATGCAAGGTGTCTTTGGTGCGGGGGCATATTTTATGGGGTTGTGCGTAGATGTAGTCAGAGGGAGGGGGCGCAGAGAGGGGCCGAATTGGAAGCTCCTCCATGACACTTTCGCGGTGTGAGCAGATGGGTGCCATGCTATGTAGTCTTTCTCGCTGCTCACACACATCAAGTCTGAGGAGCAGAAAAAGTGAAAGGTCAAAAAAAACAAAAGAAAGAAGATTTGCCGGGATATGATTGTAAATTCAGATCTTACTGTGCGTCCTCAGAGACGGAGGTCGTGGAGGCAGAGAGATGCATGGCCTGCCAGAGGTATCCCACCCACTCCTTCCTGAGGTCCTCCGTCTCTGCTGCCTGCACCACACACACGCGTCCAGTGGTTGAAGAGGGAAAAGGATTGAGCGTACAATTGACAACATGCATATCAAAATTAGAAATATGACATCTCTAAAACACACTAATGACTCACCAACACTTTTTTCTTCCCATTTGTCATGGTTATTTCAAAAATAAAGCGCTTCCTGTCAGCTTTCTGGACCTCTCGCACTGACTGCACCTGACCCAGAGGACAGATGACACATTTAGGTAATCCAAACTCACGTACAGGAGACGGCGCAACAGCTGCGGAAGTACCCCAGAAATCACAAACAGACTGGAAAATATGTGCTAGTGCATTTCAGAGAAGTGGTGCTCATTTAAAGAGAAAGGGTGCTCACAGCCTTAAATACAGCACTTTCCTTATTAAGAGAAGAGGTTAAAGCAGTCATGAGTGTGAGACTGGCTTATAATAGTTGTAGGGTAAAATGAAAGAATACATTTTATTTTTAATTTTATTTCACATTATTGTGAGACAACCTGTGAGTGAAGCCATCAAATGAATGTAGTTCATCAGAGGCATCAATTAGTGAGGCACCACTGCTAGTGCTAACAAATAAAAAACACTCAGTAAAAATGCTTACTGTGGTTAATTTGGGCACTTACTGCCACAAGTGCAAAATCAGCTTCCTGCATATAAACTGTAATAATCGGGGATATGAAAGACTTACTGTGTATATGTAGTAAAATCCTCTCAAGCTCGACTGCAAAGAGAAAAACGTCCAGTGTGAACATAAAAAACAATGAGATCTTTACAAGAGGCATTTTCTACTTCTACCTGTAATGAAACCACAATTAAACTGGAATTACTAATTAAATAAAACAAAAACACTTACAGCACGTCCATTCTTCTTAGTGTAGAAGAACAAGGTTGTGTTTTGAAGCCTGAACCAGTATGTGACCCATCTCATTTTCTACAACCACAGCAGAGAGTGACCAAAGTCACTTTCTAACAACAACCGTAACGTTCACAGTAACTCAAGGGCAAAAGGAGCTTTATAACTTACCACCGTGTCTTTTCTTTTTTGTAGAAAGCTCTCAAAAAGCAGCTCGGTCCCATCCACAGACATGTTAACCTTCAGATTACAATTTCACACTGTGGCTGCCAGTTCTTGCTACCTGTGTGCATGTGGTGAGACTTCCTCATCGCTCGAACTGAGAGCAGTATCGCTTGCAGCCACATCACCTTCTCACTTCTGCATTCTGCACAGAAGTCCTATTTGTTTGAGTTCACGTCACAAAGCTAGTACAGCAATGACCATTTCTACTATGACTGCTGCTTCTATTCAGTGACACACAAACACACACGGTGACATAAGTGGGTGTAAAGGTCATTTATTACAGATATTTAAAACCATTTCATTTGTCCTTGTCCACCAGCATCCGTACGGCACAAGTCGTTATTAAAAACGCCGAAGATGAAGAATGACAAGACACAAAGTGGGAAAAAGGGCGAACAGCTGTTAATATAATGATGCCTGGTTTAAACGGTGCGTCTAACTTCATAAAAATATAAGGAGGAAAAAAGCTTTATTCAAAAGGCAGAAAAACAAAAATAAAAACAGACAGCAGGTAGTCGTTCACCATGAAAATGGCTTCGATAATACTAAATACAAAAATACATGAAAAAGAAAAAAATCCCAGAGTTTCATGCGGTGCACTCGGAAAACAGACGAGAGAGAGAAACAGGTTAATAAATTAAACACACAAAATAAACAAGTGCACGGCATCCGTGACCTTTTTAGTGTTAGATGCAGCGCTCTTTGTCCCATCGCCTCCTGTTCTGGCTTTAGCTTTGATCCTAAAATGTTTTTTTAAAGGAATACATACATAATACCTGCATCTACATATCTATAAACAGATTCAAGTCCCTTTGTGGTGGATCTGTGGATGTCTGCCTCTCTCTGGTGTCCAAATATCTAATTATACTGACCTGAGGAGGTGGGGGAATTAAAAAGAGGACTGGACCAGCTGACTACTCATGTCTAATCTCACCTAGACTAAACCAACAGACCAAACGATGCCAGCATTTACAAACCGAGGTGATGTTTCAAACGTAACCTGCCCCCCTCTTCAAAACATAAAGAAGGAGAAAGACACCACACTCCCTTATATAAAAGGTACCTATAAGTCTGCACGTTTGTTCATGGTGACCAAGAAATGAGGCCTGGCTGGTGGGTCAGGCAGTCTTTGTGAGTCTTTTCTTTCCCCAGGTATGAGTGGTGGGAGGAGAAGGAGCAGAGTCAACAGAAGGACCAGAGAGGGGAAGTCTGGTTCTGTCTGATCACCGCTGTTTGAGAAGCGCTCTGTACATGGCGAAGCCCAGCACGGCAAACACTGTGGCGCCAACGCTCGCCCTCAGCCAAAAGGTGGAGTTCTTCAGGTCTGCCTGAGCCATGTGCCTGAGAGAAGAAGCAGGAAACACACAGAGAGCAGGTGAGAGGCTGGGAAAATACATGAATAGCAGAAAAGGGGAGCAGCTTAAAACACAATGACGAATCTAGTGCCACATTTTGCTGCTCGTAAAACCACGAGAGAAATTGCCAAATGACACAAAGTCATGTGTTTCCCCCTCTGGGTGAAAACTTCCCAAAGCCTGACCACAAATGACGAATCCGAGGATCCTCTCATGGCAGCATGAAAGAGAAACACATGCCTTCTCTTGTCATTGTTTGTTTCAGTTTGGGATACGTAAAAAAGGGAAAGAGCAGAGTCTTAAAGAAGCACCTGCTATGTACCTTAAAGGACTGTTAAAATTATATGGAGCCCAGGTGGTGTCTAAACTAAATAAATTTGGTATTTTCAGTGCTGCTGATTGGATCATTTCTCTATAATTTGGCTTCATCTCCTCTCACAAAGGGCAGAGAACAGCTTTGATGCAGAGTATAGATCTAAACAGCGCTTTAATTTAAATGAGGCGTAGAGTGAAATAAATCTCACACCTAAATATACCTGTGGCAACAATGAGGTAGGCAACGCAATATTTTAAGATTAAGCGCATGTGTGTACATGACACCACCCGAGCTTCATAGAACTGCGTTAAAACTTCTAAAACAACAGACTGAGCTGGAAGGAAACACAAGGTGAACTATGCAGCCTGCAATGACAGGTAAAAGCAACGGAGGAGGAGGAGGGAGGAGAAAAGGAGTAGCCCAAGTGCCCCGTATAGATAATATACTGATTGTATAGCTTCATCGGAAATTTGAGAAGCTGATCTGGGGACAGACAGATCACCACTCAACCCTTCAAATGTCCTGTTACTCCCGTAGGATCCAAAGAAAAGCCAGACTCATGCTCCATCTACTGAAAAAAAAAGAGGAAAACGCCTCTGGCAGTAGATATTGACATGACTCTTATAGGTCAAAACCTGATAAACCTGCTGCCATTATGAGATACAGTCACATGCATGGAGTGTTCGCCCATCCTTCCATGGGTATAAAAATCAAACATCCCCTCTCTCTCTGATTTCTGTCGTTACCTTTGTGGGGGAATTACTGGTTCAGCAGAGGCCTCCATAAAAGATGGACCCCCCCTCCACGATGGAGATGGCTGAAACCTGCTGCTTCAGGCTGAAATCCTCCTCTGACAGCAGGCAGCTTGCCTCACCACCACCCCCACCCCACAAACTCCACCCAACCAGGCAGCCTCTCACACAGTCACAAAAGGAGTCAAATGCAGCAGGTGAAGCAGGGAGGTACTTTGAATTTGTTAAACAATCAACACATTTATCACAGCCAGAACCGCTCAGTTAGTGATTAAAGCATGAAACCCGGTTCAAGCATCCTCCACAACGCAGCGGAAGTTTTCAGGGGCGGCAGTGGTTTCTACGAGAAACATTTTCCCTAACAACCAGCTAACACTTTCTTTCTGGGGATTAAAAACAAACAAAAAAACAAAAAACGAAGGTGCAGTTTACTGAACATCAAAACTTTCTGTAAACATGTTTTAAACACAAATTGGTGTTGGCATAGTAAACGATGATGTTTGCTTGGTTGCTAGGTAGATAATTCATACACCATCATACAATATATACCAACATCTCTTTTTAACACGTGTTTATACTTTAGTCATTGTTCATTCATTTAGTGAAATCACTTACACAGGTTCTCATAATTGTAATTAACATGGAGCACGTAATGACACGCACAGTTACCTGTTAACTGAGTTGCCATAGCTACGGGATATATGCAAATAAGTATTGCACAGCAGGAAACCTGCACGAGGCCCTCAAGCTGTCATCTTATCAGAAGAATCTCTTCTTCAAGGAAGCGAGGTGAAAGTAATGACAGCATGTTGTCACGTGAGGAATCTGGAAGGATGTTTTCATGTGCTGTAGTGTATAAGACAGTTAAGCATCTTACACTGTGTTTTGCCTGCAGGGCAACAAAGTCTCCTGCACTTAATTTTAAAGAAGATCCTCATTCTCCTCATCATGACCGGTCGCAGCAGATAGATGTCCCTCACCAAGCCTGGTTCTGCATAAGGATTCTTCCTGTTAAAAGCTAGTTTTTTCTTCCCGTTGTTGCCAAAGCGCTAGCTCATAGAGTGTCATATGATTGTTGGGGTCTTCTCGTTTTTTTCTTGTATTATTGTAGGGTTTACCTTAAAATATAAAGCACCGTGAGGCAACTGTAGTTGTGATTGCACAACAATAGTTGTTGCTGTAGAAATAAAATGTAGACTCTGTCCCTAAGAGTTTATCCTTTGTTTCTGGCATCGAATAAAGGAAGGATGCACGTCCTTTACAGACTAGAGTTTACACAGGGTCTGCATCTGCACTGCTGTCGTTTGCTTTTACCAAATTTTCATCAAAACTCTGTTTCTGTGTGGACTCTACACCGTGCCTGTGGTCCGGTCACACGATGCTGGTCTGTGCAGGCATTCACTTAAAAAAAATTTTCAACTGTGGTTTTGTAGTCTGAATCAGTAGGAAATGGTAATGGCTATCTTTATAGGTTATCTGACCATCACCTCATTGACATAAATAGGCCTGCAAACACAGTCTGTGGGCGGCTGCTGGTAGAAAATCTATTTACAGCCATCCTAATATTCTGGTTGCTCAGAAAAACATTCGCGTTTTTTGTTTGTTTGTTTTTTTAAACACTTGTTTGAGCTAAAAAGAATATTGTCAGGTTTGGTCTGACCCAACAGCACTTAAAAATATAGTCTTTAATCACAGGAGACAAAAAAAAAACCCGGAAATATTCACGAGGGAGACTGAAGCCGAGAAATACTATATGTGTGGGAACTGTTTTTACATAAAATGAGGAAATGGCCACATATATGTGGTGCATACTGTATATACTTGGTTCTATATTACATTATATCCTCATTAACAGTAAAAACTATTAACTACACTTTTTCAGCAAAATAGATTTTCCCTTTTAGCTGATGTGAAGTAGTTATTTTGGTTATTTCTTCTTTTCTAAAAAACAAAAAACAAAACAACTGTTTTTATTTATAAGAGTGAAGGAGATACAATAAAATGCACCAATAAGATAAACGAGAGCATGTGAAAAATACTAAAGAGTCATCTGTATCGCCCAGCTCCACCGAGTCCGAAAAGTAGGCCAAACACCAACTCTGAAACAAAAGCTTGAACACAACCACAACGATACCTGACCAACTTTCATTTCATATCTCAAACAAAAGCACACACACACACACCATAAACAAGCTGTATAGTTTGTTACCAAATAAAATAATAGTTTGTGTTCTTGGCGTGTTACATTCTTTAACAACAGAGTATAAAGGATGGTCTGTACTTGTTACTCAGTTAATTTCTAATCTTAATGAGCACTTTGGCTCAATGCACCTTAATGCTTCTTGATGCTTGTAATCAATCGGACCGGAAATGTTACTTTAATGTTAGATTTTAGGTTGTCAGGCCCTCACTCTGCCTGATTAAGGTCACTGATAACAACTCCCAGAGAC